TGTCTTATGCGTTATGCTTTATGCAAAAGTCTGTGCTCCGGCCAATACTCTTGTTGCTGGGAACTTAACATCGGATTAAGGCGCGCCTTCCAATGGAAGTTTATAGTGGCTGACGTCACTCAGCCAATCAGAGGATCCGATTTCCTTTGCTATTTCCACCTTCTACCGGATGTACGAAAGGGCAAGCTACTGGACGCAACTACCGGATTGGCTACAAATAGCCTACAAAACAAAACCAAGCAAGCTTCAATTAAAACATTGTTGCAGGAAACCTTGCTTCAATTAAAACATTGTTGCACCTTTCCACGCCTTATTGGCTGAATTTCCACAGCTCACTAGCCCGACCGGAAAGACGGAATCCGCGCCGCACTCAACGATGCATTATATCGAGACGACACTGGGTTTACCGGAAGCGTGCAGGCCGAGGAGATTGGCGCCGGAAAAACTCAAATAGCGTTTTCGATTATACAGGATTTGAACGACCCAGGGTTGGTTAATGACGTCATTGCAACCTCTCCACCAATGAAAGACTTGCATTTATAGTAAAATAGTGATTGATCAACCCTGGGTCGTTCAAATCCTGTATAATCGAAAACGCTAAAAGAGGCAAAACAACAGTTTGATTTACTGCTGCAGGAAGGAGTAATCGCGCCGTCTAAAAGCGCATGGGCCTCGCCGTTGCATATGGCACCTAAGAAAGGTGGCACGTGGCGACCATGCGGCGATTACCGCAAGCTCAACAACCGAACGGTGCCGGACAGGTACCCGATTCCACACATCGAGGATTTCACACAAGCTCTTCACGGGAAATCAATTTTCTCCACTCTGGATCTGGTGAGAGCTTACAACCAGATTCCAGTAAATCCGGAAGATGTGCCTAAAGCGGCGATCACCACACCGTCGGGCTATTCGAATTTGTTAAAATGCCTTTTGGCTTAAGGAATGCAGCTCAGACTTTCCAGAGATTCATTAATAAAGTGACACGCGGACTTGAATTCTGCTACGTTTACATTGATGACATCCTGATAGCATTTCACGACAAAGAAGAGCACAAAAAGCATTTAAGA